CCCCAAAACCCCAAAACCCCAAAACCCCTGTTTCAAGCTTTAAGGTTGAAATAATATATTCATGGTATGCTTCAGAGCAGGTAAAATAGGCAGTCTTGGATTTCGCTAATTTTATAAAAATTAGCGAATAAGAATTATTTTGGAACTTTATTATATGGATATGTAGCTTCGACTTTATCAAATCCATTTTGATCAAGAATTTTTCTTGCCTCGCTTGGCTCAGCCATGCTTTTAGTAAGACTTAAGTACTTTAGCATCTTCTTTAAATCTTTAGAAGTAGCCAAACTTTTTATTAAATTAATAAACTCATTAAGATCTGTCTCCCAGTGGTCATGTTTGGGTATTGCTGAATAGCAGAAACTTAGAATCTGGATATTTGTATTTTTCAGCAAATCTGTAAAGTCCATGACAACAGACACTGAAAGCTTGCAACTATAAAATCTTATTGCTTGAATATGTTTGTAAAACACTATAAATCTCTTTAACTGAGGTTGACTGATTCTAAAAGAAGATATATCAATTTCATTTAACACTCTTGAACTGATTCTTATTATTCCCTTGAAATGAAGGGAAGTATTTAAAAGGAGCCTGTCTTTAGAGTCAATTCTAACATGAGCAACTGACTTAGGAAACGAACTAGTGAAGGAATTGATAATATACTTTTTCTTGCTGTTAATAAAAGTCAAATAGAATTCATTAACTCGAGTGCAATAATCTTTTAAGAAGCTCATTTTCTGAATAAACTTGATCTCTCTTGTTTGTGGATACTCAAAATCATAATTCTGGATCGGATCCTCTTCTTTGTAATTGTAATAGCTACTTTTCACATTTGCTGCAATGAAATAATTATAATAAAGAGACTTTCAGAGTAACTTTCAGGTCTCCTTGTCCTGCTCCATTATTGATTTCTCCAAGCTATATCACATAAGACCATATGTTTTTAAGTTAAGGGGCCATGGCTATTCCAGAATTTATCAGAAGTAGAGTAAATAACCAGTCAAAGGCTTGAGTAGATATAAGAGAAGTTATCCAGTAAATCTAGAAGATTGAATTTTATCCAAGTCATTAAATGTTATGAGAAGAAAGAGGTTACAAACCTTTATGGTAAAATATCTGAAACATAGCTGCAACAATGAGTTTGAATTCGATCACCTTAAAAGCATTAGCGCTCATTGAGTCTTCAGATTTATTTAAATTAATTCGAAAGTAATTTTAAGATCATGAAAGCAATGCCAAACTGAGTAAGATCTTAGCAAAGATAAATGTGCTACAAATTTAGCTGCTAAAAGTTCTTTGGGATCATGTCAAACTGGTAAATATAACTTAACTGAACAAGGACATAATCCTTTTATATATTTCTAATCCAAGCCAAAGAATGAGCTGGATCATTGAAGTCCGTTATAACCTCCTGCCTTACTCTAACCTTTTGACGTTCTTCTGTGCAATAGCTTTAAATGGACTTTCCATGTTGTTTTTATTAATATTCCTTGCAATCTGCCTTTTATAGTTTGGGGTTTTGGGGTTTTGGGGTTTTGGGGTTTTGGGG